TTAGTAGAGACAAGGTTTCACCATGTTGGCCAGGCTGGTATCAATCTCTTGACTTCATGATCCTCCTGCCTCGGCTCCCAAAGTGCTGGGATTACAGAAGTGAGCCACCACATCTGGCCTATTTTTTTGTTTTAGTATACCTGTTTTAAATATTTTATCTCTTCCATTCAATTGAATAAATTTTGGGCTCATTTTAGACAGTCAAACTTTTTCATCTTTCATTTTTAGTGAGGGAAAGAAGTAGCACATGCACAAATGTGAGAGTTGTGAAGACATTACTGTAATTAATAGCCAGTTATTTCAAAACTTAGGAAAATAGAACTTGAAAATAGACACCACCTTCATTCATGATTTTTAGGCCCTACTAATCATCTCTTTGTCACATAGATTAGTGTTTTCCAAACTTTGGGTTTTACATAGGGACCAGTAAAATTTGGAGAGTGACATTGCTTCATGAACCTCAAAGACATCTAAGAACAATTTTTGAAAAGGAGGTGCTATCTCATGCCCAGAGTACAGGAGAACCTTTTGAGTCAATCATAATCTAAAATAAATTCTGTCTGATAGTCCCCAGTGAGATGACTGGACATACTCTAGCTATCCTATAATAATTTGGCACAAATTGAAAACTCATTTTTTAAGTAATCATCATCAGAACAGTTTCACAATGTTTGTATATGTTAGTATGCAATCCAAGGAAGTTAAAATACATATCACATTTATTTATATTTTTTAAATAATTCAATAAATGTTTAGTAATACTATGCTAAAAGTACTGTATTAAACACTACAATAACAATAAAATACATTTTGTAAAATTACTAGTAAAATTTGGAGAAATTATGATTCCCTGATTTTCTAAGGTATACTTACTTTATATTTCTGTCTTTCATTCAATTGTTTGTATTTCCATAGACATAAAAGTATTTTTTATAAAATGTAAGTTTATGAAATAATAAACAGCCATTAGAAATGTTTCCAAAGATAATATGTAACAGAGAAATGTTTAGAACTAACATTAAAAGGCAGAAAATAAAATTGTGTTTGTGCTACAAATTTGCTGTTAGATAAAACACAAACACCTCTAAATTAAATGCCTTATGATTGTGGCATGGTTAAGTGTTTGTTCTCTGAAGAAGAATCTAATGTATTAATAAAGTTTAAGAACTGTTAGATCTGTAAAAAAAAAAAAAAAAAACTTAATAAAACTTATATGTCAGAAATCAAACATTCAATTAAACAATTATTTGTTGATACAATTGATATTGGAAAAAAAGTAGTAGGTTTCCCAACTTTTACTGGTAGATAAAACATAAACTTTAGAATCAGGTAAACTTTGATTCAAATGCCAACACTGTTATTGTGTATTATCTGTGTGGCCTTGGGCAAGCCAGTAACTTTTGAAATGCAATTTCCTTATTTGTAATACAGGAATTCCTACCTTCTATCATTATTGCAAGGATTAGAGATGAGTGCATGTATCTGTGTGTGTGTGTGTAGTACTCAATAAATAATAACTTTTAATTGTATTGCAGATTTTTTTATATTGAGTCATTAATTTTTTATTATTAAGGATAGTGGGGTTCAAAGTATATTCACTCCTATGTTCATTCCTATACTTTATCTCATTTAACTCTCACAACAATCCTATAAGATATTGCATATCCACTTTACTGGTGAAAAGCTGAATAATCCTACAATAAATCACCAGCTGGAAAGCTGGTGTCACACAGCTATACATGGAAGCATCAGCTTCATGTTTAAAGTTGTTCAACTTTAAAGCCTATGTCCCTAACCATTAGGCTATACTGCCTTTTGATATTCTATCTTCCAAGATAAAAACTAAGCATATTTCTTGGAAATAAAGGCAGAAACATACCTAGCTAAGAATAATTATATCAAAAAAATTACTATTTACAAGATACACAAACTACATTTTGCTATATTTTTTACCATATGTAGTTTAAATATGGAAAATTAATTTTTCTCTATGATATAAAGATATCAAAAAAGTCATGTCACAAAAATCAAATGGCATATCAGCCTAGCAGAAAAAAAATTCAAATTGTTAATGCCTTGCTGTTGGGCACACCTATGGCTCTTGGATTCGAATAAATTGCCCAAAGTCACCCCATGTTGTTACATCAACCTAAGTACTAGAGCCCCACTGTAACACAAAGGACAGGGTTAATGATTCATCCCTAATCCTAAAGGCTCCTTCTGGGATTAATTGACTTTCCCTGCAGCCTGCCAGCCCACCCTCTTGTAGATCCTGTCAAGAGGGTTTCTCTTCACTGCTTTGCCTCTTTCCACCTATCTATTTACTTTAAACACTATCTGATCTTTCCCCAACCTACACAATTCGGTAGGAATCAAATTCAGTAGACACCAGTCAGTTAAACTGATCAAACTTCGAAATAAAGTTGACTTGATTAGAAGGAAGGGACCCAATTTTGCCTTTTTGAATCTGGCATTTTATTTCCTCTTTCCAGGCCACAATAATGTTAACATTAATTGCAATCAATTAAATAAGTGTTAATTGGTAATCTGTCATGTATTGGCCAACAGAAAGAATATAAAAGTGAATGAGACAAAGTTTCTGTCCTCAAAATATGTATTATCTGTTTAGAGGAGGAGATAAGTTAATTTCACATTAAGGTAGGTACCAACAAACTGCCATAGGGTGCAGAGAAGGAGCCTACAATAAATCAATGGACTAAGAAAAGATCTAAAGGAAGAAGTTCAAGAGACATTCTTTCAAATGGGTAAAATTTCAACACACATATAGGGGAAAAGACATTCTCCAGGGGAAGACAGCATAAACTTAAACAAAAGACTGACAGCTGGAGTGAATCAAAGGTTACTGGGATGATTGTTTGGTGAGTACATAGGCTACATGCTAGAAAGTGAGAAATAGGTGATATAGTAAAATGAACTTAGACTAAATCCTGATGGACCTTGAATGTCAAGTTGAGGAAAGTTTGTCATGAATAATACAAATTATGAGCCAGCAGAGGTTTTGAACATAGAAGAGATATGATTGAATCTAAACTTTAAAAGGTCAGTTTGGAAAAATTGCATGAATGGACAAGAAAGACAGAGCCAAGGCCAGGCTATGAAAGTAGCAATGAGGAGAGGCATATTCAAAAGAATTCAAAAAGTAGGACCTATTTTTTGGCAAGTGTCTAAAGCTGAGCTATCCAATAAAGCAATAAAGCCACTGGCCATATGTGGGTGTAAGCACAGGAAATGTGGCTAAAGTGAGATGTGATGTAAGTGTAAAATATACACTAGATTTCAAAAACGTAGTACGGAAGGAAGAATGTAAAATATCCAATTAATGATTTTTATATTGATTCCATAGTGAGATAATAATGTTTTGAATAAATTGGATTACATAAAACATTAAAATTAACTTTGCTTTTTCCTTTTTACTTTTTAAATGTGGCTTCCAGAATTTTTTGAATTGAATATGTGGCCACATTATACTTTCATTTGTCAGCGTTGGATGTGATGTCAGGGCAGAAGGAGGCAGTGGACAAGCTAGAAAAAGAGCAGTAGAAGACAGAAGAGGGCCTGGATAATATTATGACAGAGAAGCTATAGAAGTAGTTTTCTGTATTTATTTATTTTAAGGGGGCATTATCAGTTGGTTCAAATGCTAGGCAGGAGCCAAGGAAGATGGGTAACAGTAAAAACCAGCCATTGGATTTTTGCCCAGGTAGAGAAACGGACTAGGTCAGAGGGATGTGATCAGTGGTAACGGAAGCAACAATTCAAAGGGGGAAATACTAGAGCAATCATGAAGGTTGGAACTTTTTTCTTTCTCAGCATAAAGGAGATCTGGACATGCTTATAGGCAGAAGGAAAGGAGAAACTGAAAACACAGCACACAGAGAAAATAGTTGTTGAATAAGAAACTGTACCTGGGGGTTCTCCAGAGACTGCCACAACACAGAGGAAAATTTAAAGATAATGTGTGACAGCTTATTTTATGTTTATATTTACATTAAGAGATGACCAAACAGGTCATTTGTGCATGTCATTTGTCTTGAAGAGAAAAGAAGGAGATATCAAGAAATTATTTTCTGGGAAAGAAAACTAGAGGAAGAACCTAAAGCATGCTAAGGCACTTCCTTCCTACTCGAAGCTCTTTAACCCCTGGTTTGGGCCTTGCTGTTTGGGAGCCTTGTGGAATCCGCTTGGTTCACTATAGTTAGTCTCATACATTCTTCCTTCGTGACACTAGTGCCTTCAGTAATGACTTCAAGATTATGAAAATGTGTCTTTATAGCAGCATGATTTATAATCCTTTGGGTATATACCCAGTAATGGGATGGCTGGGTCACATGGTACTTCTCCTTTGTAGGGACATGGATGCAGCTGGAAACCATCATTCTCAGCAAACTATTGCAAGAACAGAAAACCAAACACCGCATGTTCTCACTCATAGGTGGGAACTGAACAATGAGATCACTTGGACTCGGGAAGGGGAACATCACACACCGGGGCCTGTCATGGGGAGGGGGGAGGGGGGAGGGATTGCATTGGGAGTTATACCTGATGTAAATGACGAGTTGATGGGTGCTGACAAGTTGATGGGTGCAGCACACCAACATGGCACAAGTATACATATGTAACAAACCTGCACGTTATGCACATGCACCCTAGAACTTAAAGTATAATAAAAAAAAGTAACAAAGAAAAATAAAATAAAATAAAATTAGAAATGAAATTTAAAAAATTATGAAAATGACTCATTTAAATTATTTCAGCCGAAATAATAATATATTATGATTTTCATATGTAAAATTTGCCTTTTAAACATTATTCTAAAATCTACTTTTTTTTTTTTTTTTAGTTCTCACAGTTGATAAAAGTCTGTTTCATCAGGAGAATACCTGGTTCTCTTTGTACTGACAAAGACAATACTTATTTTACATTTATGTCAATCTTCATGCACGAGAGCCGAATCTGACATATGTTCATTAGTATCTTACTTTGAATGGCCTCTTGTTCCAAGCCGCCTTGTTGTTAGGAGGGGAAACTTCTGGCGAATTGTCTAAAAAGAAAAACGATTACTTTAGGTTTTAGAAAGTATACGGTTCTAATGCAAGCCACTCATAGCCAATTACTCGGGGAAAGTAAATGTTGACCTCTGAATGAACTGTGAGTGAATACTTAGTCTGGAAAAAGTAATAACTTACACACATTGATAAGCAATACATCAGCAGAGGCAGGGAGGTACTTTTTTTATTGAAGTGCTCTACTGACCTTGTCTCGATTTCCAAGGCAGATGATACTAATATCTGCTTTTGCTTGATGGTACTACCAAAGCAATTATTACTTTATTTATGTATGGAGTGAGAAGATTTGGGTCTCTTCATATAATTCCATACAGAGATGTACCCAGAATTTAAAATCTATCCCCAACCCAAAAGGACATATAAAACTTTCTCTGCCTTACTGTATCTCCCTTGTAATGTTATAAAATTTTTGTTTTGTATGTTCCTTTCTCTAAATTTGCTAAAATTAGGATCTGATTAAAAATTGTTTAAAAGCCTTCTACAGAAAACCATTTTAACCTCAATATTTGAAGATCCATACATGAACTTTAGAGAGCTCCATGGCAAACTATGTATGTGTTAATTTATTGGAGTCTGGGTCTATAGTTTTACCAGATTTTCAAGGTGCTTCATGACTGCCAAACAGTTAAGAATTATTCCCATAAGGTGGACTCACAAAATGGTAATGTTAATACAGATATTAGAAGTTGTCTTATCCAAACTCCTCGTTTAATAGAATGAGTAAACAGAATTTTAAAGAGATTAAGCGCTTTTCAGAAGGTCTCACAATAAATTAGTCCAGTCTAGGCTAGAACCTAGATTACCTCATTACAATGTATAATATCACACTCGCTCTGTAATAGATGGGTTAAAATAAACTATTATTTTTTTAAATGAGAAGCTGAACCATAGTATTCATTATTTTCTGGACAATGAGTCCCTCTACAGGTTAGAATCTGGATTTCAATTTGTAAAAGACAATATTTGAGGCCCAAGCTTCCTAAAGTTTTTCTGGGATATCCTAGGTTCTCAAACACAGTATGACACGAATCTTAAAGAACAAGGCTTTCTTAAGAGATTGATATTAATTCTCAAAATGATGTCTCTCTCTCTCCATATATATATATATGCATAGTAATGTCAGTTATACAGATTCCCATCCTAACCATACTGGTTGGGTAGAAAGAAATATTTTTAAATGAGAGAATTCTAACCCATCCCATCATAAAATCTTGGGGCTCGGGATGTAAATATAGAAATGGAGAATTAGGAGAACTTTTAATACATTTTAAAACCTATTTAAAAACTCATATATTTGGACTAGCTAAATAAGGATAACCACTAACCACTAATTGCATTAGCAAGAGACTTGTCACTTCCATTTAATTTTGCTTCTTAACACAGGCCACTATACACTTTAATGCATCCCTCTTTGAAGGGAAATGCTACTGCTTAAACGAAGCTTGACTTAAATTCACATTAGATCTTCTAATAGTTAGGGTTCTAATATTCAAAATCAAGTTATAAACACATAGCAATCCCAAACAGCGTCCTTAAGACAGTTTCTGCCTGCAAAACAAATGTCTCAATGTTCTCTAAGAGAACTTGCACAGATGAATTTGTTTTCATGCTATCTGCCTGACATGACTTTAGTTGTAAGTCACTATAGCCAATATGTGTCGTTTACCTTTCCAAAGGTGGCCGCACAGGCTGGCTCTAATTTCTCTTTCCTACAGAAATCTAAGTAGTGTGCATAAAGAATGCACCGTGGTAAGCAAACTCCTTCACATACAATGTAATTCTCTTCAAGCCTAAGAAAAAGGAACAAAAATTAGGTCAAATATTTTATTTCTTTTTCCTTCAAATTTCTCATTGACTTATTACCCATTCTGAATATGGACTCTATACAAATGAGGTAATGAGTAGACATAAGTAGACTTCCTTTTATTCTGGATTTTTTTTAAATCAAATTATAAGGATTAATGTTAATTAAGCTCCAGTGAAAAATCTGCTAGTACAGTTAAAATATCATGGCCAACATAAAACCATGCCTGGTCCACATCACAAATATTAGGTCTTCTATATAAACCTCATGGTTCATCATGATTTGCTCTGTGACATATAAATATGAATGGTGAAATTGAAGATGATGGGTATTTTTAAAAACATTCTTAGTACTAAAGGGCTGCCAAGCTTCAGGCTGGCAAACGCTTACATTCTCTCACTTTCATTCAAAACCTAGTTCTGAGCCCTGAATAATTAGGGAAGGACAATGATGCATTTACTTGCAAAACACAGGAGAATCAACCATTTTACTTAAGTCTCAAATGACATTGATATATTTCTATTCCTATACTTTTTACTACTGTGATCAGTACTATAATTATCTAAAACATCTTATACACTTAAAAAATAATGTAATTCTCTATGGATATCTCCAAACATAATATATACACCTTCAACTTTATATTATAAAAATAACTATATAACCTTTGAAAATTTGGAGTAATTCCATTTAATTTGCAACTAAGCATAACTTATATAAATGTAATAAATACATATTTGTGTTACAACTTTCTAAACAGCAATGTACAAATTAAACTTTTAGATTTCATTCCCAGTTTTCCTAACAGTTCAGTAGGTGATTTTGACTAAAATTTACTTATACCAATTTTATGTATAGTAAGATAATATTTATTATAATGCAGAAATGATGCAATATAGAGTCTGCAGATTAAAATTGGATGAACCCCTTCAAAGACTTGATTTAAAATATCCTAATGTATACAAGATAAAGGCTAAAGAAAGGATTCCCTGAACAGGTAAAATATCAGTCACCCATTTTTTTTAATGAAGAACAACAACAACAACAAAAAACTAAGATCTAGTGTTTCAAAATATGAAATCAATATATGTACATGAAATCAGATGACATACTAGTTGATAGAGAAAACTGGAATTAATCAGCCAGCTTTTTCACTTTGATTTTCAGTTCTAGTTTTTAACAGCCCTGAAATAATCTATAACCTTAAAAAAATTCTCAAAATATGAGTAACTCACTTTTTAAAAATGTATAATACTCATTTTTAGAACAGAATGTGAAAAATTCAAACAAAAATGATGTGTGATAATTTCAAAACTTCGAAAACTTTTATGAGAAATGTTTACCTATTTAAAAATTATATTTTAATTACATGTACACAATGTTCACATTTCATCTTGCTATTTTGAGATTGTTGTAGTAGGCATTGTCCTTGTCTTCAAAATATTGAATCGTCCTAGACATAAGTATGATGTTCATCTGGGGTACAACTTTTTCTTTGATCTTAACTTATACATATTTATGTGTACATTTATTCATAAAAGAAACATGTATATTTCCACACACTCAATTTAAATGGAAAAAATGAGAGTTATCATTCAAAACAGCTCAATAATATATCTGAAACCAAAATACTTTTGCTCCAGTTATCCTGCTGCAAATAGTTGTATCCTAAATATCCCTGATATTTAACTCAATTACTTAACTGCTCTAGTATATTCATAACTAGTAAACACGACGTCAACTTCAATAGTTAAACTCCAACTTTAGATGAATACTTGGCTTATATTTCAAATATTTGAAAGGGTTCAAGCATATAATCACAAAAAAACTACTATATGTAAATTGTAATTTAATCTTTAAATAATAAAAATAAAATTTACTAGTTCTTTATTATTGTATTTTTCTAAGGCTCCTTAGGTCATACTCTGTATAAAATTAGGTTATGTAACTAATCAGTAAATATGTAATCCTTTTTATTAGTTTGTTTTTTACATGGAATTTGTGAGGAAATGTATGCTCCTATTTCTTCCTACTATGTAGGGAAGTTTAATATAATGTTTTTACTTTAGAGCCCTCTTTCTTTTAGATAGATATTACAAAATGTTCACTCTATGTGGAAATCCTACTGATAAATTCTTGGTTTTAAAATATTTTCCACAAAACCAATTTGTAATATTTTATTATTATAAATCATATATGACAGATGCTATAAAAATAGTTGAACATCTATTTAAATTAGTAGTGATATCTTAAGCGATTTTTCTATGTCTTCTACTTCAAACACATTTCATCTTATAGAGTATACACTATTTTTAATTTGCCCTCTTATGAATAAAGGCAGTGTCAAGATCCTTCCTCGTTTTAAGTTGTTTTTAAGAATCATATTTTATAAACTCAAAAACTATCAAATAACACACGTGTAAGGACTGAACTGATTGCATTTAAGCCAATAAATCATAAAAAACGTTCATTAATGCTTACATTTGAAGAAAATATGGTTTGTCAATAAGGAACAACGTAATGTGGTTTTTATTTGTAATGCAAATCCTTCATCAGTACTCGTATAAGTCTCTATACTAAAAATTCAGTGGAAAAAAAAATCTGGGTTAAATTCTAATTGGTTTTTTAAACTTTCCCAAAAAGTTTGAGGAAGAAGTAAATTGTGAAAAACAAAGATCCTGAAGACGCTAGCTGTTCAAACGTCAACAGGTGCTTCAGTGTACCCTGCGGGCAAGTCTCACCACTGCAGCGTGAGCTGTGTCTGCTTCTTTTTATCCTTCACAATCTGCGTGATGGTTTTCTTCTGAGACAGGTATTGATCGGCTGCTTTGGTTTTGCTGTCGTGGTTGTCGGCATCCTCTTCTTCAGAGGAAAAGTTACCATTGTTTAAGTGCATTTCTGATTGCCAGTTGAAGGGATGATAAAGAAAAACAGAATATAAAATCAACTAAGTAGCCTCTAAGTGTACCTTAACTTCAAAGCAGTAGCCTACTAGGGTGGTGGTGGAGGGGAGGAAAGGGGAGTTATGCAAAATCTCTTAGAGTTGACAGTCTCTACTTGACATTTTACTGAGGAAATACAAAGATTTGGACAGAACATTCTACCTCTGCCTTATGTTGGGGATGCGTTATTATTATTGGGTGCCCTTCTTAGAATACGTTCTCGTCCCCTTCCCAGCTCCGGATGAGGCAGAGCACTCACCTGATTTCACTGCCCCCGGCAGCTCCGGGTCTTCGCCTTTCTCCCCGCCGCCCTGCTCGCCCCCGGGTTGCGCTTCGACCGCCAGGTACACTCTTTCTTCCGGATAGACTAGCAAGCCCTTGCCCAGGAGCTGCACACAGCAGTCTTCCTGGATCCCCGGGGACAGTTGGGGTGCAGGCTGCGCCTGCAGGAAGGTGTCTTCCAGCTCCGGGACCTTGGCCATCCTCCTGGCCGCCCGACACCTCCGCGCGCGCCGCTCGGCGGGTTCCCCAGCGGTGCCCCAGCCCGGGGCGGGGCGGGGCGGGGCTGGGACCGAGGGCCTCAGGGGCGGGGAAGGAGGCCGCAAGCTCCGGAGTGCCCTGGCTCAGCGGAGACGGGACGCCGCGCACAGGTACAGCCTAGACCGCTCGGGGGCCGCGGTGGGCCGCGGTGGGACTGCGTTTCTCCACCTGTCTGCGGTCCGGGCAGATGCTCCCTCCGAACTCACTTTTTCACCTGCGCCGGTCACGCCCTGCCCTGGACGCCCACAGCTTCCCCCTCCCTCCCGTTCTCTCAACCTGGGCTGGTCGGAGGACCGTTTTCACACTCAGAGCTCGCAGAAAGATCCTGGGAAGGCTCACTCTCTTCTGCAGGGAAATTCCAGCAGTAACTGGGCCCATCCCTACTTTCAAGGTACACTATTGGGGCACCCGGCCGCGCGGCCTGGACTCTGCACCCCCGAAACACGGAAAAAGTATTCCGGAGTACCGCTCAGTCTTTGCGCAGCAGGAGCCGGGCTTTTTATTCCGGAAACCTTCCGAGGGATTGGTGAGGGCTCTTCTCAGCATTTGAGGACAGATCCCATCTCATCACGCACCCTCTGCTTGAGGACGCACAGTGGCCCGCACTCCTGGGTCTCCCAGCCCTGGAGGATCTGGCCTCCACCGCGAGGAAAGATTCTTTCTCTCCCGTTTACCTTTATTTTGTAATTTAAACGCGTCCCTGACGATTACACATCTCATATCTAGCAGTAGGGCAACAGAAGTTTGTTTAAGTGAAAAATGAAATTGCGACAATCTTCCAACCCAAAATGGCAATCTCATGGGAGCAAATTATAATCTGTGCTCTCTTTAGGTGGGAGCGGTCAGTGCAGACTTGGGGTTGGTGTTACCTGACTGCCAGATCATCTTCCTTTCCTTCCACCCTCTGTTCTTTTGACAAATATGCCCGGAGTCTTTATATGCCCAGTGCTCTCCGAGAAAAGCAAGGATTCTGTTTTGACTCACATTGCTTCATCACAACCTACAGCCTGTCGTCCTCTCTTGCAGCACTAGAGACAGAAATCAACCTTCGACTTTGACAATATTAAACTACATTACATTGAAATTTAACATAGAACATACAAAGTGGGATCCAAGGTGGTGGGTGACTGAAGGGTGAGTTATGGGAAGGAGCGATGCAGTCTAAGTAATACAGCAAAAGCAGCTAAGCTTATGAGTGGATTTGAATCTCCCCCATTTTTAGTACCACTTGTTGGGAAAGGCAGCAACTCTTTGTCAAAGGTTTTCACCTTACCTGGTACCTCCAGCAGCTAGATCCAGGATGGGGCTACTCACCCCTCCACCCTCCTAAAACTCCTAAAGAGGATATACCCCTCCACTGCCTCAGGACAACTTTGCCAGTTTTCTCTACCCAGTCCTCTGAAAGCCTCAGAGCCTGCTCAGGCCAGAGGGCTTAACTGTACAGTACTAAAGTTTAGAATATTGCCTTTTTACAGAGATACCCTCAGATTCATTCTGTAAAGGGAGTCCTAGTGATTAACTGTGTTTACTTATATGAAATGATAAGAAGAAAAATGTTCAGGAAAATTACTGGAATTTTTTTTTAAAATACTGACCACATGATAACGTGTTTGTGTGTGTGTGTGTGCAAGTCACACAGACACTACGTGAAAATCTGGCAATTATCCAATTGAACAGATCAATGGAAACAAAAACCACGATCACTTAAGGCCGTAAGTAAACTTTTTGCCTTAATTTTAAGTAAATCTGTTTGCCTAACAAAATGATGTGAAAGTTATTTGTGCTTCTATTCAAAAATAGGAAGTCTAAATAGGCCTATAGCAAGTAAATAAATTTAATCAGTAATCAAAAAACTTCCAACATAAAAAAAGCCCAGGATGAAATAGCTTCATGAGTGATTTATACCAAATGTTTTATTTTGTTTTTGTTTTTTATGTTTTTTGCTTTTTGTTTCTTTTGAGACGGAGTCTCGCTCTGTCGCCCAGGCTGGAGTGCAGTGACTGGATTTCAGCTCACTGCAAGCTCCGCCTCCCGGGTTTACGCCATTCTCCTGCCTCAGCCTCCCGAGTAGCTGGGACTAGTAGAGACGGGATTTCACCGTGTTAGCCAGGATGGTCTTGATCTCCTGACCTCGTGATCCGCCCGTCTCGGCCTTCCAAAGTGCTGGGATTACAGGCTTGAGCCACCGCGCCCGGCTATACCAAATGTTTAAAGAAGAATCAATGCCATCCTTCTCAAATGTATGGTATGTGGTGAAAGCAGAGGATGGGGAAAAGCTGTCAATATCCTAATTTGCTGTTTGTAATTATTATAACAAATCTGAGCTCATGAGACTACTGTTTTAGAAAAGCATTAGTGGTAAACACCTCATAAAGTCCTAGGCAAGAAAATAGATAAAAATGGAGAATGATCTTTTAAAATAGTGATTTGTAAGATTTTTATGTTTTATATACTCTTTAAAAATTTTTTGTAAGCTATCAACTGTCTCCCAGGGGAAAAGCTGCCCATGAATACAATAATGAACAAAATTCTGCTTACAGTTTGACAGAATGTAAGTAAAAAATACCTGAAAAAGTTTATTCTGTTTTAAGGGGAAAAAACACACATGATGTCTGAAAGAGAAGATTCTTTGAAGTTCCCAAATTACAGTGTCTTCATGACTGGAGGCACAAGAGTAAAGGGAAAAGGAAAAGGAATTTGGAGGCAGGTACATTTGCACTCATTCTCTTTGTGCTTCTGGACATTTGACCTTTCTGTGCCTATTTCCTTCTCTCAAAATTGGAAAAAATAGTACATATCTATAGTAGATTTTGTGGGTGTTCTGCTCAGATCCCCTTGGATTTCTTCCACATTTTCTGGGCACTCCTCACCCTGTTTTTGCCTCCTTTGGTTTCCAATACCAGCACCAAGACCAACACCTGAGAGCTCCTGGGACTTTTCTTTGGAGGGACTGCCCTTAGCTACCAGACCACCATTGCCCATAGGCAGAGACAGCCTAGGTGCCCCTGGGGAGCACTTAGCCAATGACTGATGGTTAGGAACCTTGACCTCATGTTGGATAAATCTGAGGTGCAACTTACAACCCAGAGCTCCTCTATGGGATTGGGCTGAAACCATCTCCCACTAGACCATTCCTAAAATCCCATCCATGTTTGGCTTCTTCCCCTCCTCTGTCCTGCTACCCCTACTCCCTTTCCTGTTTCTCCTGGCAACACTTTCTTTAAATTGCTTTTGTAGAAAAATGCTTGACTCAGGTCCTGCTGACATAAGACATCACATTATAGAGTTGATATAAGCATCAAATGAAACATTATAAATAAGAAACTAGTACAATGCCTGAAACAGAGTAAGCCTTCAATAAAACATATCTAATCTTTTTATTCTGAAACTTTAGATCTTTTTTAGCTCACATAAGCAATGAAAAAAATTTTTGGTCTTTCATTGCAGAAGAATTTTGAGGAACATCCTTCTCCTTGCCTAGGTTATTTCTGGGCATAGTATTATCTGGAGTAATCATATACTATGAAATTTTCTTCTGTGAAAGTTCATGTCTCTCCTAATTTGTTTTTCTGTTCACCAAAATTATTTTATAAATACAGCAAGTACTTTGCTTTCTGTTAATGACTTTCATTTTGTTTCTTTCAAATAAAAGTAAAATGAGGTTATGAACCTAACAACAGAACCCCAAAATACATGAAGCAACAAATACTGTTTTTTGGCAGAAGTACTAACACCATTCAATGGAAAAGGATATATAGCCTTTTCAGTTAGACAACCACATCTAAAATAATAAGTTTGGAACCCTACTTCACACTATATGCAAAAATAAAAATGGTTCAAAGACCTAAGTACAAGAGCTAAAACTGTACAACTCTTGGAATAAAACTTTGGTGTAAGTCTTCCTCACCTGGGATAAAGCAGAGGTTTATTGAATGTGATACAAAAAGTATAAGCAATAAAAAACATAGATAAACTGAACTCCACCAAAATGCGAACATCAAAAACACTATCAAGAAAATGAAAAGACAACACACAGTGGAAAAATATTTGAAAATCGTCTATCAGAATATATGAATAACTCTTACAACTCAACAATCAAAAGACAATAGCCCAATTTAAAGACATGTAAAAGATTTAAATAGACATTTCTCCAGATAAGATACATAAATGGCTAATAAGCACACAAAATGCTCAATATCATTTTCATTAGGAAAATGCAAATCAGAACCACAATAAGATATCACTTCACACCCACTATAATTTTTTTAAATGATAGTGAGGTTGTGGAGAAATTGGGACCTTCATACATTGCTGGTAGGAATGTAAAATGATACCACCACTGTGGAAAATAGTTTCGCAGTTCCTCAAAAAGTTAAACATGTGATCCAGTAACTCTGTTCCTAGGTAGATACTCAAGAGAATTGAAACATAAGCTCATACACAAAGCTTGTGTAAAACTGTTTATAGCAACATTATGCATAAAAGTTAAAAAGTTAACACAACCCAAATGTTCATCACCTGTTATATACATAAACACAATGTGGTATATCCATATAAGGGAATATTATGCAGTCATTAAAAAACAGTGAATCAGAGGCTGGTGGATTGCTTGAGCTCAGGAGTTTGAGACCAGCCTGGGCAACATGTCAAAACCCCATCTCTACTGAAACATACAAAAATTAGCCGGGCATGGTGGTGCATGCCTGTAATCCCAGCTACTCAGGTGGCTGAGCTGAGATCGCAGCCATTGCACTCTAGCCTGGGCAACAGAGCAAGACCTTGTCTCAAAAAAAATAAAACGAAACAAAACAGTGAAGCAATGATACATGCTTCAATATGTATGAACCTTAAAAACATCATGTCAAGTGAAATAAGCTAGATATAAAAGGCTACATACTATATGATCCATTTACATGTAATGTCCAGAATAAGCAAATCCATA